AGGAGGAGGAGGAGGAGGAGAGAAGAAGAAGACGAGAGGGGGAGGAGGGGGAGGAGGGGGAGGAGGAGGAGGAGGAGGAGGACCTGCCGGTAGTGTATGGGGATGATGGAAAAAAGAGGAAGAAGAGGACGATGAAGGACGAGGAGGAGGAGGAGGACCTGCCGGTAGTGTATGGGGATGATGGAAAAAAGAGGAAGAAGAGGACGATGAAGGACAAGGAGGAGGAGGAGGAGGAGGAGAGAAGGAGAATACGAAAATAGGTGGAGGAGGAGGAGGAGAGGAGAAGAAGAAGACAAGAGGAGAAGGCGGAGGAGGAGGAGGAGAGAAGGACAAGACGAAAGGAGGAGGAGGAGGAGAGAAGAAGAAGACAAAGAGGAGAGGAGGAGGAGGAGGAGGAGGAGGAGGAGGAGGAGGAGGAACTGCCGGTAGTGTCTGGGGATGACGGAAAAATAATAATAATAATAATAAGAGGACGATTGCGAGGATTGAGCCCTCACCGGGCCCTTACAGACATGCAAGTCTTCTGGACTGTGGCCCCCAGCAAGCATTGTGCCCGCCCTAAGTGAAGGCAGGCCTAAATATCCATGTGAGGCCTACTTTCGGCATTTTCCATACGTGGGGTGTCAGACAGTTGCAGCACACCAGTTGGTTACCGAGCAACGTGAGCCTTCGGAGGCTTCTTCCAGAAGCAAGAGCTGCGCTGTGCAGTTGAGCCCAGGGTTCAGGCGGTTGCACCCCGGGCACAGGCTGTGGGAGGCCGACACATCACGGACTGGCCGCGGGCCAATGAGAATGCAGCAATGTCATCACACATGCACCGCGATCCAATGAGAATGCGGCAAACACTTGGAGCCTGGAGGGCTGCCTGGACGTGCCCAACTGTAAAGGGCCCAGGCCCGTAGCAGCAAAGGTGGGCCTGGGCGCAGACACTGGGGCCCGACTGGAAGCTACTGGAAACTCGTCCAGCCAGGCCCATGCAGCCGAACACAGGGCCGCACTTTCCATAAAGGAAAGTGCCCTTCCCAGGCAGAGACATTCTGGCATGAGCAGGCATTGCGGCCACATTGCTGCTCTGCCAAGCGCTGCTGCAGTAATTCGGGCTGGCCAAGCCGCACGCGGACGCTAAGAGGTGAGAGGGCGCTGCGGTGGCAGCGGGCGCACGGCGGCCATAGCCGGGCCGAGCGGCGGGTAGCAGGTGATTGCGATGTCGGTCTTCAGGTAGGAGGCGCATGAGGTGGGGCGTCGAGGTGTGATGAGCGGAGAAGAGAGAACATACCTGGTGTATGCTGGCGGTCTGCATTGGTGATGACATCACATAAATTGGTCTTCAACTTCGATGTGATCCAGTTGCATGAACGTAGATAGGAGTAGATAGGCTGCGTAGTGTAGGCTGGGCTCTGGGCGCCAGACAGGAGGTGCGACATTGGATACTGTGTTGGTGTGACCTAAGAGTGTTGACATTGGCACACGAGTTCATTGTATTGCTTTTACTTGAATGGTATCTTGGTGCATTCTGCTCTCTGCTGGGTTCAGGACTATCTGGTCTACTTCGTGATTTTGCAATGTGGATTTCTGTCTCTCTCTCTCGCTCATAATCCTTGCAATTTGGTATCGGAGCTGGTTCGATATCGCCGTTACCGACACTGGCGACTTTGTTACTTGGTGCACCGACGAAGCTTCTACTCAATGAGGATACATTGGGATTGGCTGTTTGGGCGACTCCCAGGTAAGGGGGGGGTGTTGCCGGAAGGCTGTGGCGACAACGTGGGAGTTGTGGCGACAGCAGATGTATGTGGGATGATGAGAGCATGCTGACATGGCCTTTTGGTTGAGATGGCACTCCATTGCATTGTGTGTGGTACTTAAGCTATGAACAGTCATCAAAATGCACGTCGGCTCAATTGGTGAGAACCGCAATCAGACTCGCTTTCTTTTCCACTCTGCATACATGCAAACAGTTGGCGGCTCACACTGGCGCTCAGCGCCCACACAAAGGCTCGGAGATATGGCAAACGAGAACACAGTTCAGATGTAAACTCGCTTCAACAAGCTATGGCGCCTTAGCGCCTTCACAGAACAACTCTCGCCACTTCGTTCACCACCACTGTTCACACATACTCAACTCAACTCTGGATCACCCTGAATGCCACCACACACACACACTAACCTATCGCGGCTATGGCCGCTCTACCCCTACTGACTATGGCTATGAGATCACTCCTCAGCCCACTTCGTCTTCGGGCAACCTGCAGACCACCTTCGCACAAGACGCTGTAGCAGCGCTTCCGCATGGCTTACGCAGCGAATGAATGAATGGCTGGGCGCTGCCTCTTGATTTATACTTTTGTGGCTTGTTGGTCTGCCCCTTTCCCAGGCCCGTGGTGCACACAGTCCCACACGGTACTTGCTTGACTGAACTCATGACTGGGACCGGTACCGCTGACTGCATGGGTTTGCACTGCCAACTCGATGCAGTCGCACTGCCGACGTAACGCAGTTGGACTCACCACTTTCCCACTTGCCTCTGACTAAACGTTAGACACTACGAAAGGCCACTTCCGGACCTTCTGGAAGTCTATGGACTTGGCCTTTCGGGTACTGTAGCAGCTACGACCTTGACCTTTCAGGACTGTAGCAGCTACGACTTGACCTTTCAAAATGCCTACAGCTACGACCTCTACAAAGCTGTGACTCCTAATCGACAGACCTACAAATCGAACCCCTACCACTACACAGACCTACGACAGACGACAAACAACTACCAAAACACAGGTCACGGGTTCAAACACTCGGGTGTCGACTCGAT